TATATATATATATATATATATATATACTCGAGTGATATATATATCAGCTTTCGGAAATCTGAGGTTAAATTTTTGTCTCTTCAGTAAAAGTTTTTTTTGCTCCAATAAAAATTTTTCGCTTGCTTAATATTGCCACTAAATTAAAATTCGTAATTGTTTTTAAGTCCGAGCACGAAACTGTCACAGGTTACTATTCAGTTTCACCAGATATTTTTGAAGGTTCTTGCACCTATGCAATTGCTCTTAATTTTTAATTTGAGATTTGCGTCTTCATCGATGAATCACTCGAGTTAGTTTATATTTATGACTAAAATATTGATGCTGAACTATTTAAGTAGAAGATTTGAGGATCAAGCTTATTATTATGGTACTAAGTTATTATGTTAAATGTTTGCTATTATATCTGTGAACAAATTATAGGGAAAAAAATTCGAAAACGCGAAGTCACTGTCGAAACAATAAAGATTATCAGGAATTATTCGGAAGCTAGCACTGCTGATTATTACTCATATGATGATCAATTGTATGACTACCACTCTGGTGGTAATAGAACAAAAAGTATGGCTATCTGGACTCGATTTTTTTTCAGAACTATGAACTTCCAAGTTGCACAACAATTCACGCATATGCAATTATTCGAAGGATTTTCGCTTTTCTCAAATGGCTGATGAGATTATACTTAGCTTTCATATATTAAGCAACTTGTATTTTAGTTCATTAATATAACTTAGTTCGTTAACTGATGATTCATTCCTGTTAATATCTCAAAAATAGTTTGGTTTATAAGTCTCTAGTTAATTCAAATAAGCAGTTCTAAAATTTCGTCATTAATAATTTCAATATATCAACATAAACCTTCTTTAATTATTTTTTGATAAATTCTTTGCAGACGAGAAGCTAAATGAAGAAATGTTGTGCTCACGTTATGTTAAAAGTTTTCTGGAATGGATGAATAATAATAAAAATCTATGGAGCGAATTTCTTGCGGTAATACAGCGCTTCATCTTTCTTAATAAATTGATTATGAAAGTATTTGATAAGATGCCAGCTTTGAATAACTTTTAAAGTTACCATATTACAGAGTTTTATCTTCATTGTCATTCATTATATTTTGCCATTTTTTGGAAAATGAATCTTAAAATGGAATATTTTAAGATTTTTATTTGTGATAAAAAATACTAAAAAAGTATTTGCAGAAAAGAGACATGCCGGTATATCCTAACTACGGAGAAATAATGACTGGTGGGTGCCAGGGATTTGCTCGGAAGACGATGGTCTGGCCGGAAGATTTAATCATTGGCGGTATAAAAAGACAAAATAATAAGTTGCTGAGTGCAGAAGCTTTCCAGAGCGTCTTTCTTGTTGCATCCGGCAATGACATATTTTTGCGCTATAAGGTTTGTTCATTAATAAAATTAAAGTAATCAGTTTGATAACAAAGGAAACCATTAGACTGAAATAACGTGGTATATTGACAATCAACTGCAATGATACAGTGCTAATCATTATTCAGTATTAGTATTAATATTAATATCTTTATTAAATATTACATCATTACTAAACAGTGAAGCACCTTAGTGAGATGCTTAAAAGATTGATTGTTTTATGCATTTCGAATAGCAACATCAGTAAATTTGAAATTCAAACAGTATTATTATTTTTTCTCCCAAAATTAGATATCATGTTGGCGTTCTAAAAATGAAAATTGCGATTTAAAATTTATCTTTAGTTATTAGGCGGTTTATGCTTATCATAAAAGCTTGCATTTTAGGATGAAAAGTCAAAATTAAAGCCAAATTTGAATGCTGAAACCTGGAATCCGTATTTTGCAGCGCAGGTTGTTTCTGCCTGGCAACGAAACTTCACGGAATATATCTATCAACATCGCTGGAACACAAAAGTTTGCTTAAATTTATTTCACCACTAAAGGGACAACGCATTTATTTAACTTGTATAAGTGTTCTTTTGGATAACACTATGAACCAAAAGTAAACCAAAGAAATGCATGGAACTGAACGTATTATTTCAATTATGCTCTTTTTAAATATGTTTTCATCAAAACAAACAATTTTACTTCCTCTACTAGAAAAAAATAATCTACTGAATGAGGTTTTATTATATGTAGAAAATCTCTGCAAGTTAATTATACTATGCTATTTTTTCAAACTTTTTGGAACAATTTTAAGTGCATGAAAATTACAGTATTTAGTGAAAAAGTTCCAGGTCAATCGACAGATTCATCCACTTTCATCTACGTCATTAGAAGATATGTTGAAGGAATTCAGTCAATTCAAATTTTTGGTTATATTCTTAGGATACTTTTTTATGGTTCGTCTATTTTTTGTTGTTGAATTTCTCAAGATTGTAATCAAGAAGGATGCCATAAAGACTTAATGACACTGATTTGATAGAGGTTTCTATAACCCAGGTACAAATGAAGAAAATAAATTCAAAGAATAAAACTGAATTCTTTCAGCATTCTATACATTTTTGATCATATTAATGGCTCGATTGCGTGAAAGTATATTATATCACGTAAAATCTCTCAAATACTTTCTTATTGTTGCTTTGCCAATCATTTTGAAAATTTTAAATGAAAATACTGAATCTATATTAAGTACTTGTGAAATTTCGTTCAATTTTTAGTTTTAGCAATCCTGTCCTAAGGGAATCTTTTACCTATGATCTTAAATCAAACATTTATCATTTTTTGACAGTATCCGACAAAATTCTGTTCATTGATTAAGAAGAAAACTTTAAAGTACAAAAAATGGATAGTAAAACGAAGATTATATTACTCTTCAGCTTGCATACTTTTATATTTATATAAAAAAAGTGATTGACAGTTTGAATTTGATAAATTTGGTGAATGTGCCATATTGTTTACAAATCCTATGACTTTTAGAATCAATTCAAAATAATATTTATAATAATATTTTTTAAACAATAATTACAATAATAATTTATACTTGGAAGTAAAACTATTTTTTAATAAGATTTTTGGTCAGTGTTGCTTTTTTATTAATTAATTTTGACAACCACATTACAGTTTATTTATGCCGGCTGGTCTCAGCTTCATTGGGATGGTTGGTGGTTTGCAGTGGATTCCTCAGTCGGACTTGGTATTTTCGGAGTTTTTCTGGTTACTTATGCTAGTATTTCCGGTCTTGGACTATCGTCGTATATAAACATACATTTCAATGCAGCCACTACACAGGCAATTGATCTTGCACTTCTGCTTCCTTTTTAACTCTTAGAAACGTTCTCATGTGATAATGTCTTCACCATTAAGCATTTATATGATTTCAGATTGTACCTTTCTTGACGTTAGGATTGGGTGTTGATGATATGTTTCTTTTGTTGCACAATTACAATGATGTGCGTCAAACTGTTAAACATAATGAAATAGGTATTATTAAAGTAATCGATATAATGCATAGTGGCATCTCATTTTTGCTTATTTTTATTAAAAAAGAAACAAATTGACCGGATTGACCTTTTGAATAATTTTTTCGAACTGTAGAAAATTACTAAAAAATTCTATTCCATATGATCCTAAGAAAAAGCGGTGTAGAATATTCTCATTTTACCACATCTCTATTAATATTTTCCTCAGGTGTTCTGATGAAAGAAACAGGTATGAGTATTGTGATCACATCAATAAACAATGTCATCTCCTTTATGGCTGGTACACTTCTTCCGATTCCGGCCTTGAAGTCATTTTGTTCTCAAGTAGGTTCACAATGATTGCAGTTCTCTCACTTGCAGATACCTTCCACTGTAATCAAAACCTAATAGTAATTTGTTTGATAGTAAATTAAGATTTACAAAAAAGGCTTCAAGAATCTTCTGAAAAAGATAGATTATCATCATATTACTGCAAACTATAGTCTAGTAATTTGCTTCTGTCTTTTTATTTTGTAAACTCTGGCAATATCTTTATGAAATACTTTATACGCATTCCGTCTTTATTTTTGAAAAGTTTTCGACCTTTGAAATTCTATATTTTAGATTTTAGATGAAAAAATATTATTTAGATGGAAAAAGGATACAAAATTTCAAGATGCTATAATATAATATATCTTAATTCTGTTTGTTTTGCCCATCCTGGAAAAAAAAAAGCTGTGAAAATAAAAAAACTGACATTTACAAAAGTTTAGGGATTTATTTTGGATTTGGATTTCAAGTTATGATTATTGATAAGTTGGTGTCTAAAATTTCTTAAAAACAGACCGAAAAAAACATGCGTATTTTGGAAATTGCAGACAGCAATTTTATTGGCATTCAATATGCTCGCTATAATGGTTATTTATCCTGCAATAATTGCGATTGACTTGCGACGTCGCAAAGCTGGTCGCAGAGATATGGGATGCTGCTGTATTAGAAGATCGTCTTTATCCAAAAAGGTTATTTTTAAGCCATTTGCTGAGTCGTAAAAAACAATAGTAATTTTTTTTTCGCTGAAATAACGATTAATATGCATAGGCAAAATTCTTGAGCAAATATCTTCTTCGTTGCTCAGTATGAACTTTGCAAAAGTTTTTGAAACTAGTAAACTTGCAATAAATGTTAAGTGATTCACTGAGGAGAAAATTATCTTACTTCAGGTTGGAGTTGAATCGTTGGAGCTAAAAATGGGGAAGCAAGTTGCGGAAGGTCTTACCATTTCAGGTCATATTTATCCAGGTCCACCGCACACACCGACATTGAATAATGAGGATGAAAACTATAAATGGTATACATTCAATGGTTTTTTGCAGTGTTACTACGTTCCCTTCCTTTCAAGGCCACTTACCAAGGTTAAATAATGTTACATCATTTATTTTACAATTAATTTAGAGAGCACTTATGGCAAATATAACTTTGGAACAAATCTCTTAACAGCATGATGACAAACAAAAGTATGGAAATGATAGATAGGTGATTGATTGATAGATGATGACTAAAATACGTCGTATTTAGTTGATGGTAATTGTTATTTGGGCATCAATGTTTTTATTTGGTTGTGTCGGTCTGTATCAGAGCACTCTTGGTCTAGAGCTATCAGATGTCTTACCAGAAGGAACAGCTCCAGCTGCATTCCTCAAAGCTAGGGAACAATATTTCAGTTTTTATCCCATGTTTATCATCCTAAAAGGCAATGGAATCAATTTTGCAAAACAGCAAGAGCAAATTGAACAATTTCGCCTTGACATAGGTGGACAAATTTTTTTATTATGAGCCGAGTTGCAAATATCTACGACTATGGCATAAAAGCATAATCAGGCTAATTGTGCTTTGTTAGACTAGCCAGGTCTTCCTATGATAAATTTTTGATAACATAGTGATTTTCATTGTTTTTCACATGCGGTTAATTATTACAGCAAAATCAAGCTATGTAATCAAAGTGAAGGGTCATGCAAGTGAGGAATACTGGTTGTCATTGATGCGCACTTGGCTGACTTCTATTCAGAAGCATTTAGATGATGCTATCAAGAAGGGTAAAATAAACGCAGTTACTGGTGAAATCGTGCCTAATGCTAAACTTACTGATGAAGCTAAAATCGCACGACGTCTTGTTTGTTCATATGGAAAAAATTATAATTGCACGGGAAGAGTAAGAATTAAATAGAACATTGCCATAGCAAAATATAAACGTATAATCTCCAGAGCAATTTTTGTTTGCTAAAAAATAAGTATTTAAAGTAAAAATTATAAGTAAATAAATTTTAGACGGATTTATAAGTGATTTTCTACAATTTTATTGCAGCAATTAAGCGATGCTAATATTTTCCATCAAACAAGTATATTATTTACTAACAAATCTTAGATTTTTGTGACCTATTCTTGCAGTTCGTTATTCGAAATCAATTATTGCTAGCTAAAGTTATTTCCACACTTTATGTTGAATCTAATTAAAATTATAAAAATTTAGAATAAATACCGTCAGAAATAAGACTGATATTCAGGTCGGCAAAATAAAGCTGGTAGATAATACTGGTTTGATCAATCATGATGGCTTTTATAACTATCTAACGGGATGGTATAATGTTGACAACATGATGTATTATGTGTCGCAAGCTGCATTTTATCCAACACCTCCATCGTGGATGCTTGATTCGGTTATTCATATTCATGAAACTTGGAACTAATATAATGTCTATAATTATCAAAACACTTTTAGCAATCACAGTAATAAATAATAGTTTTAAAAAACTTCTCTTTGAAATAATTCTGAAAATATATGCAGCATCGGAAAAAAAGTATTTTAGCAAGAAAAAGCTGTACCTCCGGCTGAACCGCCAGCCTACAGTCAAATGATGTTTTATTTAACTGATTTGATTGATACTCCTGTGATTGTAAAAATGATACGAGTAAGTTTTGTTGTATTACTATTATTAGTATTACTATGGAAGAAAGCAGGAATGATCAAAGTTCCACTTCTGGTGTTTTCTCAAGCTCTGTTACAATGACGAAAGAGAAAAAAACTAGGCTGACGTAATTCTAGGAAATCCGAAGCATCTGTGAAAGGTACACTGAAATGGGCTTACCTAATTTTCCTAGTGGTATCGCGTTTACTTTTTGGGAGCAGTATCTTAATCTAAGGTTTTTTTTAATTGATTTCCCTGAAGAGAAATGAAGCAGGACGTAAATTTTTAAAGTCTTATAAAAGCTTGCAGCTACTACATTCATTGTCAGTTTCACCTGACCACTTAAGAAAGAATCAAAATAATAATACTGAAAATCACACGAGTAAATATTTGCTTCTTTAAATAATTAACGTGTTTATAATGTTGGTCGATTTTTTTATTTACGCTGAATTAAAAGCTTTTTTGAAATGGTTTTTAGTTGGAACTTATTCGTTGCTATTTGTGTGATTGCATGTGCTGTTTTCATTACCATATCAATGTTAATTTGCAATCCATGGGCAGCGGTGATGGTGATGATTATAGTTGTCTCGATGACTATTGAATTAGCCGGTTTTATGAGTGCAACAGGGGTCAAGTTAAACCCCGTTAGTGCGGTAATTTTGGTAACCGCTGTAGGAATCGGTTTGTTTTCACGTAATTCGTAATTTGAACCTTGAAACTTTGTCTTAACACCTTTAAAACAATCTGGTTTATTTTTTCTGCCAACAATAACTTTTCGTCAATTGTTTTTGCAATTTTTTTGTGAAATCGAGTTGAAAAATAATTAAGCCATTGTTATTAAGCCAAACAAAAATCTATTAATAGCGTCAAAAAAGGAGCAAAATATAATTTTTATTTTTCACAACTTTCTTGAAATGCTTGATTTTTTCCATGTTTAATTTTAATTCTATCATTAATCGGAGAAGAAAATTTGAAAAATAAAATAATTATATTGAGGTGTTGAGTTCACTGCGCACGTCGTGTTAGCCTATTTAACATCGCTGGGGAACAAAAATGAACGGATGGCAACTTGTTTAAATCATATGTTTATTCCCGTAATGCATGGCGGACTATCTACTCTCTTAGGTTTATAATTTTGTTTAGTTTTGACTTGTAGCAATAATTGCTTACGATTTTTTTAAACATGTTAGAAAAAAGATGCTTATTTGTTTTTTGTAAAAAATTCTGTTAATAGTGCTAAATTTTGAGAAAAAAACGCAGAATAATGTGCAAAATAATAAATAATTTTCGGAAGAAAATCAACATATACTAAAAAACAAATTAAAATATTTAAAATATTTAAATTTAAAATCTTGCAAAGTCAAGAATTGTGGAAGAATTCTTTTCGTCAACAAAAAAATATGACTGCAAGTATGAGCACATTTAATATTCATTTCATATTTTAGGTATAATAATGTTAGCATTTTCTGAATTTGAGTTCATAGTAAAATATTTCTTTGTTGTACTGTCGGCGCTCATTATTATTGGTCTTCTTAATGGTCTTGTACTTTTGCCGGTACTTTTATCACTTATTGGACCACCATGTGAGGCAAGTTTCATCGAAAGTCAAAATTTTCAGCACTTTGATTAGAAAATTCCGAATTAATGTGTATTAATAAAGCTTTCAATGAATTTTTGTTGTGAGATTTTATCTAAAACCGTAAATAGATCAAATGAGTTTGGATGTTTATTTTAGAACATACATTACTTTAGAAAAAGTTTTCTCCAGATTCATCCCTTAGATGAAAAGGTTTATCTACCAGTACCATCCCCTCTTTGTAAACAAGAAAAGCATGGGCATTCAAGTAGCAGAAATAGCGACATTTCAATGAAGGTACGAGTTGGTGGTGCATTTGTTGAAATGCAGGTGAGATTTATTTACAGTCAATCATATCACTTTGACATACTTATTAATTCGGAATATAGCGTACATGTTTTGTATTTGGAAAACTTCAGTAGATGAAATAGGCTTTTTGATTCGAAATTTGAAATGTGAGATCAAAAGAGCAGAATTTCGATCACTCATTAACACATTTAACAGTAAATTTTCATCCAACTTTCTTTTATAGATTCTTTAGCAAAAAAATTGTAACTTTATTCAAAAGACTCAGAAATATTGTCCAAATTTCATAGTATTCTGAATAAAAAAAAATGATACTTATGTCAATCTCATTTCCGTAGAAAACATTTGTATTACATGAAACTTAACAAAATTAACCGAGTTAACAACTTTTATTTTTTTAAAGTTGTTTTGAGCATGACGGTGCACGTTCTTCAGGTCAATGGTGGTAAAAAAACAGCTGCTGAAAGTCATGGTTTTCGTCCTGATTCATTATCTTCAATCAGCGAAGAGCCATTTGACGTAAATTTAGTTTTTGATTTTTATTAATTATTAACATCAGATTTCCATATACAAATTGTCATGAAAATAATTTTGTAAATTGCAAAGCCAACTATTATATATTACTATTTTTTTCCCAACAAATCATTAATCTTAATATATTTTAAGTTTTCTATATTTCTGACTCACTAATTTCTTTTGACTAGACGGTTTAGTTTAAGTAAACTTTTTGACTATCTTAAACTCATTTGTCAGTTCCTTAACAGTTAGGTGTTTTTGCAGAATAATCGTCTTTACACAACATCCTCAGACCTTAAAAGGACCTCTGCGATAATACCATCTGTTTCCAGTTCTTCATTATCTGAAAAATGCTCGAAAGGGAATAGTGAACTTAGGTCAACACATATTCCTGTTGGTGTAATTGCACCAAAACGGTCAACTTCACCACTTCTCTCTGGTGAATTCGTGGCTAAAGATAATAAATCAGAAAGGTGTAATCTTCAAAGTAATAACAAATCATTTAAATTTGCTTCGAATGCACTCAGATTTTAGAAGGCAATATTGTTCTATTTCTAATTTGAGAAGTCTTTGAAGGTGAAGTTTTTGCAGAATTAGAAAACTGATCAGTAACTGAAATCATTGCTTTGGATGAAAAAGCTTGGAGAAGTTTATTTCTCTTTTTTCACTTTTGTTTGTTTTCAGTTTTTCATTATATTTTCATCTTTTCTCGAAAGCATTTGCCTTTTACTATTTTGATTAGTGCACTCATCAAGAATCGCCTTCGAAATTAGACCTTGTTTCTTGTTGATGGTTCGAGAATTTTATCGGCCTTTTGCTCTATCCTACCATGCCCATTACTTGCACTGCTCATTTTTGTGCCAAAAGTGCCATAATTCAAATTAAATTAAATAATTCACTTTGAAATTTGTCACTTAATTTTTCCAAACACTTTTTTTGTCTTTAAACTTGTATTTATGATTTTACGTGAATTGAGCTTCCAAAACTGTCATATTTAATATCGAGGGTTTTGGTTATAAACAGTTCATATTACCTACTAGCCTCCTTGTAAAAAGAATCAAGAAATATGAAAACGAACTTCTAAGAGCTCGTATTCTATACTAAACGATTATAAAGTAGGAATTAGCAGTATTGTATGGCATCAGTAGTTAACGGGTTAAATTAAAACTATCCGTTTCAAAATCATATCGATAAACATCTCCTCCTAAATTAATGCATCTCTAAATATTTAAATGTAGCAAATACAATTACACCAACCCATGGGCAGCGCTTCCTTGGCTTTCTCCTTCTCCTCCACGCATGTTCGCGATGATTGTCCTTCATACTTTTAAATAGTATTTAGCTAGCCTTTTTCGTCATTTCATTTTGTTAAAAGTGAAAAAAGGCTCCCTAATTGTGCTTTTTCCGTTTATCTTGCGACCTCTTATTATTCTTTGCTTTTATAGAGAGCTATTACCATTTCCAAAAAACCGATTCTTGTACATATATATCGAGTTTGTTTTATAGCAAGAATAACCTAATTTATGATCTAGAAAATATGTACAGGACAGACTTCAAGTTTTGCTGGAATTATTAGACGCTTTCATCAATGAAATCAAGTAGTCTTAGTAAATAAATATTGGTTCTTCTTGTAGGAAGCAGCTTTTCCTTCCCTCATCCATATCTTTGAAATCTTTTCTGAATTATATGCACATGTTACAACAAATTTTTTAAATTTCGTTCCAGCATCACATAACAATTTTTTGCATGTTAGAAAGATATCTAAATTTCGACTCATCTTACATTGCTTATGTTTTGGCTGATTTGTAATCTTCAATTTTGCTACTTTTTATCATTAAAATTCACATTAAATTTAAAAAAGTTTCATAGGACTAATAAAAATACTTCAAAGTTGTCAGGGAGGTTCTATCGAAAATGGATAGAAAGTTTATCTGATAACATATATGTCTTCCCGAAGCTTAAAAACTCTTTGTACTACTTGGCACCATTTCCAACTTTACTCTCAAAAAACTTTTTTTTAGCTATCAGTGGTTTTGTAAACTATAATATCGAAGTTATTACCCTGTAATATTGTTTTGATGAAATGTAATGAAATTGCTCATAACATTGATTTTTGCGCACAATATTCATTTTTTTCCTGAAAACCATGAATCACTTTTGGGACTTTGTTCAGAAGTTTTATCATTATTATTATTACTGTTATTATTGATGAATTAATTAAAATTAATTATTATTATGATAGAGGTTGGCATAACCTAGTCGATACAGGTTAATAGCAGTCGAGACTGAGGAGAAACAAAAGTATGATCTACTGTCAATAAACTCGGGTTAGAGATGAAATGCAAGACGAAAATAATTTCGTATGTGATGACTTCAGATGGGATTGTAACGATCTTCCGTAAACGCTACACGAAGGAGATTAGGATATCTGATCGTGCTGATATTATTCTTACTAATATTAACCCTATATATCGGTTCATCTTTATTATCATGCTACAATTATCATATAAAATGATAATATATCGCTGTGCCACAAATCTTCGATCTAATGAAAATGATGAAACCAAACTTTAAACTTTTAATTTTGATCCAACAAAATCTAGCATACAATGTATATAAGAATAAGTTTGAATATTGTTTATATATAGGCACTGCTGTTTCAGGGAATTTATTTTTTTGGTTTAGAAATAAGTTCTAAAAGAGCGATCGAGACCATTCCGATAAACATCAGTGAACCTGCATACAATACAAGTTTTCATGGTCAGATTACCAACAAAATCCTTCAGAAAAATTTGAGGAGCTTTGAATAGTCTTTATCAAATTCGAAATGAAATAATTTTTAATATTTGTGATTTATTGAATGAAGTTTTTATCATAAAATTGGGTATTTGTTTTTATAATTTGATTTTTTATTTTATTTTTTTAAGAATGTAAATTCAAAGATACCTATTAAAAGCAAAATACCGCCATTAAGATAGAAAAATCCAACTTTGAATTCTTGATAAAATGCTTGCGCACAATCGCTATCATATACCGAACTTAAGGCCACTAAGCGTCTTTCTATACATTGACCTAACGTTGAACATTCCTGCAATTTGTTTTACTACTAAAAATTATTTTTGGATATTTGCTGTTTTGAAAAAATAATTAGTATCCACTAATCGCCGCAAATATCCAAATAATATCGGGGTTTCATTTTTTTTTCAAACTCTGTTGGTAACTGAAAAAATTGTGAGAAGGAGAAAAAAACTCTTCAAAATATACAAATTAATTTTTCATCGTCACTGTGTGATTGACTGTGTTAATGGAAATTTAACAAACTGTCATCTTGCGGAACTTCTTTCCCTTGGACATAAAGGATAATCTGACCTTGCACACCATGACTCTCGACCTCTTTTAGTGATCGACCTCACATCACGCATTAAAGTAAGCTGAGTTTTGTCTGTTACACTCCCTTATTAATAAATAGAAATAATATTGTGTAAAAACGAACTCCATGCTTTGAAATTCGTATTATGTGATACCAGCATTTTAGAATTTACAGTGACATGAATTAGTCACTTTCACTATATAAAAAAAAATTTATTGAGAGTTGTGTTAAATAATTGAGTTAGTTTACCCATTCTTTCTTGAATCGAGCCGCATAACTTGGGACTTGAATGAAATTGGTCTCGTTAAAAGGTATAACAAACCGTTCATAAGCGAAGTGGTCACAACGCATAAATTGAAAATCAGATCGGCAACAAGACCATGGCAAAGAACCCATTTTGCTAAAGCACTATCAGTACGTAAGCATGCGTATAGTAAGATTACAGACTATTGTTTACCTGGTACAAATAAAAAGTGTTGTAATATATTGTAACTGCTAAAAAGTGTTTCCCATATACTTCATGATTTGGTTGATATCTAATTGATAGTTGTCATATAATTAAGATTGCAAGACATGCAGCTTCTTGCGATAAAAATGGAATAGTTACTGGCTTTATTTAATTTACTAAAATTACTAATACTTTTATTTTTATTTTCTTGAGCTACAATTAAGTATTTCGAATGATGAGAAAAACAAACAGATGCATGCCTATATAAATTATGTGGAAAAGCGACATCAACTTGCATTTGACGCAACCAAATTTTTTGTGGATCACTGATACCTTGCACCAAAATACCACAACATTTGAATTGTTGCTGAATTATGTTAACATCCTGAAATCTTGAAGCCTTGAAAAATACATGTGAACAGAATTATAACTTAATAAAGTGCTTTTTCCCCACATTCATTTACTGTTATACATCTCTTTAAATTCATTAACACTGACTAAAAAGGGGATGCTAATTTTTGATGTTTAAAAAAATGAATTTTTTCTATTTAACACACCATTTTTGACCACTGCAAATGTATTGTCAGTACTAAGTTTAGGTTGTAAAACTGTGATTGCTTAAATAAGACCAAAAAAGTTAAAAGCCTTACACTAAAAAAATATTTACCCTAATAACTGATAACAATAGCTGTACCTGAGCATAGTCACTGTCAGTGATTGCCTGACTGATTGAATACAGTATATTTGTTTTAATTGGTTCTTGCCACCGATTGCATAAAAAAATTAAAATAAAACTATTAGCTAACGTTGTTACTACTGATATTGATGACTCGTATTTTACTAGTTTCAAGCCGGAAAAACTTGCTGATAATTGTCCATTTTTCAAACTTAAATATGTTGCATTATTGCCAGTATTATAATTATAACAAAAAAAATCAGATGAAAATTAACTTTAATCCGTAAGTCAGTTTCTAAGTTATTTCAAAGTGTTTAATTGATGGCTAGGATTTAACCAAATGGAAGTAATATAAATTTTGTTCCCATTCTTAAATTATTAAAAGTAATCAAAATTTAGTTTTAAGAGTTATCTGATAACAATTTTTAACAACATATTAGAATTTCATAGATCTAGTTATGCTATCAAATTAAAAAAGAGCTCAAATAAATCAAGTCACCAAAATTTATGGATTCTAAATGGAGCAAGAATCGTGATAATTGTAGAGTACGAGACTGTAAGGAAGACTCCAAAAAATAGGCCATAACGTTGCGTGAATTCAGGCAGGATTTTGCTATAAATTAATGAAAGTTCTTACAATGATGCAAATAATAAAAATCTTTTTTATAGTTAAAACATACTATTTTTGGCAAAAATTATAATTATCCTGGTTTTAATAATAAGAATAAAAGTAATAAAAATAACAGTTAATCATCATTGTGACTGTTGTCACTGTTATCGTTATTATTATCATAGTAATAAAAATATCAAAATTGATAGTAACAATACTGTAAATAATACAATAATCAACAAACTTCAAGAATAATGAAAAGGAAATAGTTATATGCTTACTGATAAGGAACGAATTTTAAAGAAGTGTAAATACAGATTATGATGGCACTACCACAAAGAAGAAGCTGGCAGAAATAAATAGCAAATATAGCTTGAGCAACACAAATTTGTTTTTTAGCCAGATCTAAATTTGTTGATTTGATTGGTTGCTTGAAATGCTGAAGTTGACTTTTAGAGTTTTTCAAAACTTGAGCTTTTGAAAATTGTTTAGGTCTAAAATGTGGCAGAGTTCTTTCTTGCTCCTTAACTTCTAATGGCTTTGTTGGCTCAGATTTTGGTTCAGGTATAGTCATTGATCGCGTTTTTCTTATTGCACCCTTTTTTCTTGCTTCAGATGCGAGCACTGCAGATGCTTTTCGTACTGAGTACTTTCTTAGTTCAGGTTTTGTTTCAGACACAGCTATAGCGAGCTTCATTTGTGCTCCTCACTATCTGATTCGGGATGCCGTAAAATGTAGGTAAAATACAGATTCCACTTGTTGAATGTGATACGCTCCTTCTGACACTTATTCTAAACATTAAGGGGTGAATTCAAAGAAGATTTATTCAAGATATTCGATCATAGAAGATTTATTTTCATTTTTCAACTATTGTAATTTGGTTAAAGACCGGAATTGTGAAGCGAAATCTAGATTCTAAAGTAAATTTTGAAAAATCGTTGACTTTAAAAAATTGAAAAGCGAAACATCAACAGAGAAATTATTTTAGAAACCCAATATGCTCACATCAACCGCCTTTAAAAACAGTTTGCATGAAATAATGGTTTTTATTGTGTTTCCCACTTATTTCTGCTTCAACTTCAATTTTTACTCTTTGAGAAATCACTTGATCAATATTTGCCAAGAGTTAATATTTAACAAACATTTTCATTATTTTAATTCCGAGACTGCTAACGACTGTCCGAAGGCAATCAGAAATTTCAGAATCGTGATTGTTTAATTGAAAATAAATGAATGATCCAACCAGGATGCAAGATTTACTTTTTTCACTCGAATTGCTGTTCTACATAGAGGGATATAAAATACAATGTTTGAAATTGCAAATGCTTTGTGACGACAGTCAACTATTGCTACATTTGCCCCGCGCTGAGTTCTGCTGTGTTGATCTCCGTTGCTTTGTACTCGTCGAATACACGGCGCTGATCGAATGAGATGCTTTCAAGCGTTTTCTTGAGCACTATCAACTAGATATCTGCCTCAATGTGATCAAATACATTGATTCCCTAAGTGTGACATCTATGAAAGTTCTTCACTATCCGATCCCAAGTCATCACATAAGGAAATATTTTTGTTCTGCACTTCATCTTTGCACCGAATTTATCTGTCAGTAGATCATATTTTCGCATTTTCTAAATGCAGTCAAGTTGTCTTGACTAGTGATGCCAATTTCTATAAGAATTAATTCACGTTGCTTCTTGTTGTGGATAATGATATCCGGTTTATTCGTATTTATTTCAATATCTGGTCTTACTCCAGTCGATCCACATTCATTTCTATAGC